CCCCCCACCGACCCACATCAATAGAACGGGGCCATGATGACCCCTCATGCCCCCTCCTCGGGGCCTTGCTGGCTCTGGTCTCCAGGCGTGGAACATGGATGCTGGGACTTGTAAAATGTGGTGCCCAGGGCCACCTCTGAGTACCAGGAACTGAAGTGGCATGGATAGTTCCCCTCTGTTTTTTTTTCCTACTTCATTATAAGAAGCATTTACTAGGCAGGCCCTGAAGATGAAGACTCGGGTCTGATGGAGCAGAGAACATCCCTAGACACTCAGGAATATTGCAGGGCAAGGCAGTGGACTGCCATGAATGCAGTTCTCAGTCCAGAATAGGGCCCAGTACACAGAAGGCTGGAGAAGCTCATGGGGGAGGTGGACAGGTCACCTGGAGGCCAGTTTGGGTCCTCAGCTGCTGGCCCCACCCACATGCAGGGTCTGGGAGCCTGGGGCAGCACCAACCCCAGGTTTGACCAAGGTCAGACCCACGCCTCTGGGGGGCCATGGAGGGAGGCAGACCAGGATCTTAGAATGCCCCTGGTTAAGCACCTCACCTGCCCACCCCCAGTTTCTCGTCTAGAAAAGGAAGAGCCAGACACACTCCTGTGATTCTCGGGCCCACTCGAGAAAGAGGAGAGACCCACAATGGGCCACCCAGGACCATGCAAAATCCTAAGAGTCAAGGGCCAGGCTAAGCCCCAGCCACACGTTTGGAGGCTGTGGAGGGTTCCCTGGGGTCCAGAACAGGGAGGGGACAAAGCTGACCCCTTAAGTGAAAAATGGGCTAGAACCCCCACTCACCTGTTCACTCTCCCCTGCACCACCCCGAGATTTTTCTCTCCCCCAAAACCTTCCTCGGAACTCTGGGCCAGTGCACAGCTGCCTACCCAACCTCTCCTCATGGGAACTCAGGTTTCTGCCTCCAGGTTGCTCAGGTCGACAGGGGGTCACCCTCGCCACCTCTTTCTCTCACCAACCCCCTTCCAAACCCATCAGAAAGAGCCAGGCCCCAGTCAAGCCACATTCAGAATCCCCCCACGTCTCACCCCTCCTGCTTCAGCCTGGTGCAGGCCCCCTCCTTGCTCACCCAGGTCTTCCTCTTCACTGCCCTAAGACCCCCAGAAGTTTCCTTCCAGCTCAGGGAAAAAGCCAGAGTCCCACAGGCTTCTTTCTGAGCGTGTGGACCCCTCCTGCAGGCTGTATCTCCCCAGGTTCTCCCCTGCCAGCATCCTCACTGCTCCTTCAATATTTAGGCTAACTCCCACCACAGGGCCTTTGCACATGCTCCTCCCACCTCCCTCCCATTTAAAAGGACACCTCCTGACTCCCCATCCCTTCTACCCCACTGTGTTTTTGCACCAAAGCCTCTTCTCCTTTCAGCAGGTTGTGTGTTACTGATCTGTTTCAGGTGAGCAGGGGCCTTTCTTTTGTTCTCAGCTGTGTCCCCAGAGCCTGGCATAGAGTAGGCACTCAATAAATATCAGTTGAATTAAATTGACATGCAACTTGCTCTCGGCACCTGCTTCGGGGGACTCTGAAACGAAGGATGCTGCCTGCCTGCCTCACCAAGGATTGGTGCTGGGTTCATCCTCCTCACTCCACTCCCCTCCACCTGGGGGCTTCAGCCCTGAGCATCCAAAGTCAGAGCCCCTGTGATGGGAACCTGCAGGACCATGGCTGCTAGTTTGTTCCCTGCGTCCTCCCCTTGCCCTTAACAGGTACCTGGCCCCATAATCCTTCAGCTGTCCCAAACCTTCTCCTTTTGTCCCAAGTCCCTACCTATCCTCTGCAGGGAGCAAAAGACCCTGGGCTCTCCTCTCCCAGCTCCCAAGCTCTCCATCATCCTATGGGGACCAACTGTATCTCCTTCCCCCTGTCCTATGTCCCTAGGGCAGGGGTCCCCAACTCCTGAGATCTAATGCCTGATTATCTGAGGTGGAGCTGGTGTAAAAATCATAAAGTGCACAGTAAATTTAATGTGCTTGAATCGTCCCAAAACTCCCCTCTCCCATCCCCATTCATGGAAAAACTGTCTTCCACAAAACAGCTCTCTGGTGCCCAAAAGCCTGGGGACTGCTGCTCTAGGGCATCCTTCACTGCTAGGCTTCTGAACGGAGCTTGTCCCACCACCCCCATCTCCTGCCCCTCGCTCCCGCAATCTGGCCCCTGCCCCAGTGGGCCCGGAAGCCTCTCTCTCTAGGGTCCCTGAGGACCTTGGGCTGCTTAGCCCACGGCTCCCTCTGAAATCTGGCTTCCCAGAGCCTCTGGCTCTCCATCCTCCAGGCACCGACACTGCCTCTTCACCCCTGGCTCAGGTTGCCACCCCAGCTAGCCCTCTCCCAGCTGCCCGGGGCTGCCTCCCCTCCGCCCCTACACCCCTGCCCCACTAGCCATTTCCTGATCATCTCTGTGCTACACAGGGTTTTTTGTTTCTCCTGTTGACACCCAGTACCTCCTTGGCAATGTGCTGAGCCTCATCTCTTGCTGGGATGACTGAAGCTGCTCCCGACCAAGCCTGGCATCTCCACCCCACCCCCACCTCCTCATCTTGTATCCCCCTCCAAACAGTCAGTGGAAAAGCTGCACCCGCCCTGCCCTTAAACCCTTCTCATAAGCCGTAAGGGGGACCCAAGCAAAAGCGTCTGAGATTCCCTCTCAAAACACACTTGTTCAGGTCTTGGGGCTGGGAGAGAAAGGAAGTGAAAATTTGAAGAAATTTCCCCCCCAAAAGTCCAGAAGGGCTTTCCTTGGGTGGGGGAGGGGGAGGAAGGAGTGATCAAGAGTGGTGGGCACAAGGGTGCAATTCACCTGAAGTGTGATCATTGTCCTTTTTGAACAAGGAAGGTGTGTCCAGGCGCAGCTCACATGCTCAGAAATTAACCGCAAACTATTTTAAGCACCCAGATGATTTTGCAGTGAACCTGCCCATTTCCCCTTGACAAGCAAGTCGCTAGGGCCCGGGTTCTCAAAATGGGTCCCCCCGACCCCCCTCCCCCCACCTCCGGAGTACCAGCAGTTCCTGGGAACTTGTTAGAGATGCAAATCCCCAGCTAGGGCCCAGATCTGCAGAACTGGAAACTCTGGGGAGTGGAGGGAGGGGGCAGCCACCCCAATGTACACACGGGAATCCCCTGGGGACCTCGCTAAAATGCAGACTCTGAGTGGTTAGCCTGGGGTGGGCCTGAGCGTCTGCATTTCCGACAGGCTCTCAGATGTGACGGAGACAGAGACAAGGGGCTTCCCGGGTGGCTCAGTCCGTGAAGAATCCACCTGCAAGGTAGGAGAGGTGGGTTCGATCCCTGGGCTGGGAAGATCCCCTGGAGGAGGGCATGGCAACCCAGTCCGGTATTCTTGCCTGGAGAATGCCAGGATTCTGGAGCCGGGCGGGGCTACGGTCCATAGGGTCACAAAGAGTCAGACACAACTGAAGCGACTGAGCCTGCACACATGTAAACAAAGTAGGTTATTAGACAGCTAATCCTGCCAGGGGACTGTAAGTAGAAAGATATGGCAGACCCCTGTAAATGAGTAATTACTCAAGAAAGCAGATTTGCTTAACCACAAAACTAACCAGGCTTACTTAACAATATAACCGTGTAACAGAAGCTCGAGACGTGACCCAAAACAATAAAACAATGGTGACATGAGCCCCATCTCCTGCCCAGAGAGCTCAGTTAGTGATTCCTGGGACAAGCTCTCTGCACACAAGAACAATAATTTACAGCCCTAGCTTGACCATGTGGGGACAAGAAGGCTCCCCTGCCCACCCTGGACAATGAGCTGATGATAGAAGCACTACGTCTACTAAGAAAGACAAAGGAGGTCTTCTCCCCCTCCTCACTTTTCCTTTGATTCTAAAACTGTAGCCCAGTTAAATTCTCAGGGTGTGGCATTTCTCACCCGCCTGCTTGTAAAGCCTTGCTAGTGTCTTGCTCTAATCAATCATTTCTTATCTATCACTTCGCCATTCACTGAATTCTCTGCTGAGACATAAAGGACTATGGTACCGGAGCCCTTCAGAGCCCCCAAGATGACACCCAATCGGTTTCAAATGCTGATGCCAAGGCCCAGGACCATACTGGGAGTAGCAAGGGTCTAAAAAAAGTGGGGGGGAGGGGAGCTGACAAACAACTACCTTCTGCTTGTTTTCTAGATGCACAGCTACATCCACTCCTCAACCTACTGCTGCCTACCCCTGTGGGTGCAAAGTAACCAGAGAGGCTGGGGGGAGGGGTAGGGGGGCAACTGTTCACTCTGGTCTGTTACATAAAGTAAAGCCAGCCCCTGGTCTAAAGAAATCTCCCTCAGCCTGACCCCCTGCCCCAAACCCTAATACCCACCTCCCCACACCTCTTCTGCAGATGGATGGCCTCCAGCTGTGATTCCAGAAAGTGCCAGCATTGCCCCCACCCCCAGCCAAACCAGCAGGGGGCTTCCCTGGTGGCTCAGCTGGTAAAGAATCCGCCTGCAATGAGGGAGACCTGGGTTGATCCCTGAGTTAGGAAGATCCCCTGGAGAAGGAAAAGGCTACCCACTCCAGTATTCTGGCCTGGAGAATTCCATGGACTGTATAGTCAATGGGATTGCAAAGAGTCAGACATGACTGAGCGACTTTCACTTCTGGAGCCAAACCAGCAGCTCCTAGGGCCTGGTTTCTCTGCCCTCTGCCCCACCCCCGTGTCCCACCCCACTTCCCCCAACCCCTAAGCTAGGTCATATCTGCCCCTACCCCACTTCTCCATTGTATTAGGCCTCGGGCCACCCTCAGCGGCCTGAGGCAAGGGCCTGGGTTATGGTGAGATTTGTTTTGTTTGGCAGGGCCCTGTGAGGCTTGCAGGACCTCAGTTCCCCAACCACACTCTCAGCAGTGAAACTGCCGAGTCCCAACCACTGGATTGCCAGGGAAGTCCCCGTCGAGGTGTGTAGGGGCTCTCCAAGGCCCTCAAACAAGACACAAGACACACTTGGGAAGGGGGCTGTCTGCATCCTTTATCTCGGGGAGATCAGCGGCCCTCCAGGGCCCGGTCCCGGGCTATGACAGCCTCCTCGAACTTGATCATCAGCGTGGTGCCCTTGTGCCAGTGTGCGGTGACCTTGGCGGGGAAGCCGCTGTGTGTGAGCACCGCCTCCACGATGCCCGCGGTGAAGCTGGCACAGTTGAGCGTGCTGTTCTCCTTGGGCACCGAGATGTAGGTGTTGATGAGCGGCTCGCGCTCGATGATGTAGAAGGTGCGGGCGTCGTCGTTTGCCTGCTCCAGCTTGTCGGCCTCCTTGCCGAAGAGCGCCTTCCACACGGCGCCCTTAACGAAGAGCAGGGCGCCCAGCACCTTGGTTTCCCGCCGGGCGCCCTTTTCGCGAGCCACCAGCGCATCCAGGACGCGGGCGCCCACCTGGCGGCCCAGCGCGGCCAGGCGTGCCTGCAGCTCCGCCACGGAGAAGACGCGGCTCTGGCAGTGCTGAACCAGCTCGGAGAAAAGCAGGGCAAAGGCACTCAGGCTCACCTCGGTGCGTGGCCGGGCCAGTGCGCGTTCCAGCAGCGCTGACTTCCCACGCGTGAAACGCGCCTCCATGCCGCCGCCCTGCAGGGAGAAGAAGAAACGTGGGTGTCAGAGGCGGGAAGGAGACCCCCTTCCAACCACCTCCCATGTGTATCCCATCGCTGATTACCCACGCGGGAAGAGATGAGAAGAAAAGGAGAATCTACCTGAGCATAAAGCATACCTCCCTTGTGAGGCTTATACCCTTGGCCAGGAGAGGCAGATGGTCAAGACTCTGCCTGCAACGTGGGAGACCCGGGCTCAATCCCTGAGGCGGGAAGATACCCTAGAGAAAGGAATGGCAACCCACTCTAGTATTCTTGCCTGGAGAATCCCATGGACAGAGGAGCCTGGCTGGCTACCATCCATGGGGTCGCAGTCATGACACAACTGAGCAAGTAACACTTCCATTCTCTGGTGGAGAGGGAAGGTGGGGAGAGATACCCAGAAGGAGACACTCGAAACCACCCCAACCCATGAGTTCCAGGTGACCTCTGTGCATTAAAAGCATCGTCCTGAACCCTTCAAGCCGGTGCGTGGGGAGGGGGCGGGGCGTCAGACCTAGGGCAGGGGGGGGACAAGGGTCAGGGGCCATGAGAGGACAAGGCAGCAATCCCTCCCCTACCTCAGGCGCTCCAGCAGCAACAGCGCTGACTTCCCAGGGTGAAGTCGGAAGAGAGAAGTAAGGGGGTGTGGCGAGACCCAGGGCCAGGAGGGTTTGGGGCCTTGGGGAACCAGCAAGGTACATGGAGCGAGCCAGGAGAGGATGCTGGCAACCCTTCTAAAGCCGCACCCTCGGGCACACCGAGTTTGTCAGGCACGAAGCATGCCTCTTGGAGTGAACCCGCGTTGGTAAAAAAAAAAATGGGGGGCGGCCAGGGATGGCGCTGAGAGCCCACCCCCTACCCGCCACCCTCGTGCTTTCCAGAAAACCAGCTGCACTGTGGGAAACAAGATGGAGGGGGCGGACTGTCGGACCCGGGGGGTTAGCGGAGCCAGGAGGGGGCGCCGTGATCCTCCCACTCCAGGGTGTGAAGCCATCGGTGGCGGGAGAGACCCGGAAGTGGGGCTGTGGGGAGAAAATCCCTGGGGGATGCTGAGACAAACGCACTGTGGATCTGCGATGGGAATGGCCGCGAGTGGGGGATGTCAAGGGCTCCGAGACACACACACACACCCCCACCGTCAGGAGGGGTAGCTGAGAGTCCCGACGCCCCACTACGCAGGGACGGGACCAGAGGCCAGGGTCTGGGGAGGCTGAGGCAGGGCCCCAACTAGGGTCTGTGTGGAGGATGAAAAGAGCATCGGAGGGAATTTTAGGAACTCCAGGACGTCCCTACCCCGCTGCGCAGCCGCCTACATGGGGAGGGCCCAGCGCGCGAGATGGGAGGGAGAGCGTAGAAACCCCTCCACCCGGCTGCCAGGGGGTTAGTGAGCTAAGCCACGGGAAGACCGGGATCCCGTGACCTCGGCGCGGGTGTGGACCAGGCAACGGGGCCGGGGAGGAGCCCACCCTCCTCGTGCCCCCCACCCCCGGCGGATGGGACGAGGCGGGTGATGACCGGGGATCGCGAACACCGAGACCGTGGCCCAGGACCCAAAGACCCGCGGGGAGGGGGTCGGGAAACGGACACGGCCGGGGCCGGGGAGGGGTCGTGGCGGGCGGGGTCTCACCCGGACCTGCGGCCGCCGATTTGGCCGAGCTGCTTTACGGCGCCGTAAAAGGGGGCGTGCGCAGGCGCAGCGACGGGACGGGCATGTGGGCAGGACGCGCTCGGCGATTCCGGAGAGTGGCCGCAGGGGGGCGCGCGTGTCCGTGGAACTCGACTTAAGGGCGCAGGTACCCGGGCAGGGGCCTCGCAGGCCCTGGTTGGCCCACAATCAAGGGGACAGGGGCATGGGTCATCCCCTGCTAAGGAGTGCACGTCTGATGATAAACACGGGTCTCTGTGTCAGGCACATGTGCGTCTACTCGTCTCGGTTCACATGTACCTTCCGGACAAACATGTCCATGTGCATGCCCGTGGGCACAAGTTCTCTGAGGGTACGTACACCCATGAGCCATTGGCATAGTACACTTAGGGGCATGTGCGCTCATGAATACATGCTTTGTGGACAGATAACATTCCGGAGCACAGTACCGTACTCAGGGGCTTATGTATCCGTGAGGCCATGCACACTTAGGGAGACATTAATGCCAATATCTTGATTCTCGGTGCACCGATGTCTAACAGAAGAAGCACAGAGACTACGTTTGGAGGAGAAAAGAAAGAGGAGTTTTATTTTTTGCCAGGCAAAGAGGGAACGCAGCTGCCTGTAGCCTCAAGACCATTCCCCACCCCCCAACCCCATCCCCCGCCCTGGGGAATCAGAAGTCTAATAAATAGGTGGGGCTCCAAGTCCGGGAGTGCGGGTTGGTGGCAAAGATCAAAATGGTGAAGGTCTTGCGTTTTTCTTCTTCCTTCATTATTTCAAAACAGTCAGAGCTAGTGTCAGGTGGCTCAGAAGGTAAAGAATCTGCCTGCAATGCAGGAGACCTGGGCTCAATCCCTGGGTTGGGAAGATCCCGTGGAGGAAGGCATGTCAACCCACTCCAGGATTCTCGCCTGGAGAATCCCCATGGATAGAGGAGCCTAGAGGGCTACAGTCCATGGGGTCGCAAAGAGTTGGACACAACTGAGTGACTAAGTACACAGTGTCAGGCAACTCAGTAATTTGGTCCATTGCTCTCCTGGTTATTGACCCACGATCTTCTTTCTGAAATGCAGAATGCTGCAAGCGGTGATTTGCTACAAGGGAGTGTAAAACACCGGGAACAGGATGTAATTCACACAGAATTAGAGTGTTAGGTGCCGGATATAATTCACAGAATCAGAGAGTGTTAGAAGTTAGTCTTGTGAAGGACAGAGTTACAGACACTACAGATTATTAACATTTAAAATAAAGCTAGGATTAATGAACTCTTTCAGGCCCGTTTATGCTACATCTCTAGACTGTTCATTGTTCCCTGTATTTTCCTGGTTATCAGAATAAAACCTCATTTCTGTTTTGGTCCAAGAGCATTGGACCTCTCAGTCCACAGACAGTTAGAGGCACAGGGATTCAGTCACCCCTGGGTGCAGGTTCATGGACACACAGGGACCCACTGGGTGCACTGGTTCTCACACCCCCTCCTGCCCCCAGGGCTCCTGGCTTTAGGTCCATGTGCTCCCCACATGACCTTTCCTATTCTCCAAGTCTGCACACTTATGGAGCCTCCCCCACCAGGTCCCAGAGCCCCCCAGCCGCACCAAACAGATTGGAAAGCCATGTGGTTTCCCTTCGATCTTTATCATCATGAATCACAAAATGTGAGTGCAGAAACAAGTGGACACATGCGGGTACTGCTCTGAACACCCTCGGTGACATCATCAGGCACACTTGTGTTGACACGCACCTGTTCACACCAGCATAGCGTGACAGGACACTCATCCACAATTACAGTGATAACTTCCCACGGCGTACCCACCACCCCACCCCCTCACACCTCCATCACACAACACCCAGCAGGACACATGTTTGTGTTTATGCTGATGGTGAAATGGGCGCCTGCAACACATGTCACCGACACCCACACCTAGAGTGACATGCCTTTGTGGCCCCCACAGCCACACACAGTGACATGAATTACACTCACGCCATGCCACAGCCCACATGTGTGTGCCCATGTACAGTGACCTGGGAGCACACCACACTCACCATCAACACTCACCCATAACACCTTCCTGTGGGACACGTTGAAATACCCACCCTCCTTGAAGAGCTTACCCTGACACACGCACGCATGTGCACACATGCAACGCCACAACACTCATTCGCAAGACATGTGATTTTCTACATGTGGGATGAAGGGCAGCTTCAGACCAGCATGGGTCCCCATGTTCCATCTTCACTAAGAAATACTGTCTTTCCTCCATGGTGCAGCTAGGGCTGTGAGATCTTCTCACGCATTAAGGTGTGGGACCTGCAGAGTAGGGGCGGGAGTGAAGGATGGAGACCCAAGATCAGATAGATCTCATTCTTGTAAGAGAACCTGGAGCCAAATCCGGGGGCCCCCCTCATTTGCCGCCCCTGGCCCCAGCTTACTTGGTTTTGACATCTTCAGCATATTGAGGATTTCCTGTAATGTCTTCTTGACTTCATCTATGTTTTGGACTGGAGTGGTGGGGAGACAGGAAAAAGCTGAGATGGGGCACTCTTAACTTTATTGGAAGCCTTCTCCCTGACCCCCAACCCGAAAAAGATGCCACACAGTCCCAAAGTACCTGGAGGTCCCAGCAGCATATATATACTCCCTGAGTGACTCAGGGTGTGTTTGTGGGGGGTGATATCCATCACCCCTCCAAACCTTGTGCTCGGGGAGGGCAGGGCCCCTGCTGTCCCCTCCCCAGATTCCCCAGCACCCAGCCCAATACTGGGCATGGAGGCATATTCGCCCCAGGGAGGTCTGCCAGGGCACCTGTAGCCAGCTGCCTCTGTTTCAGGTTCCCATCTTGGATGCTCCTCTTGATTGTGTCCAGGCTCTGCTTGGCTGCCGTGATGTTCTGCTTCACAGTGGCCCACTGAGTCTTCTGCTCTTCTTGGTACCTTTGCACTGAAATGGAGATGAGGGTGTGGATTGGAGTTGTCAGTGGCGCCTTCGCTCCCCCTACTCTCCCAACCCCGACCCAGCTCTTCCTCTCACCTTTCCAGAGCACCTCTTTCAAGACCACCAGCTCCCTGGACACCTCGAAATCTGTTCAGGATGGGGAGAGGCAAGGAAACCTTAGAAATACTTTAGAATCACCTGAATTCTGCAGTCGGGAGCAGCACTGGACCTCCCCAGCTTCTGGGGACCCCTCCACACTGCCCCCAGCCCCTTCTTCTGCCAACAGAAAGAAACACCCCACTCACTCTTCACCAGGACCAGCGCTAAGAGGACCATGCAGGACAGAGTCAAGACTGTGTTCAGACTCATCATGGCTTTAGGCAACCAGTGGTGTTCCTGGGCAGTGTCCGAGGGTGGCCTGGACTCGGCTGGCCCTGGGATAGAGGTAGGACAACTCATCTCCAGGGCCCAACACCACTGCCTGGCCCATCGACACTGACTCTAACACCACTGACAGCTCTTCACTTATATCTACTGTTCTCAATACCATGAGCAGCTGTGGCGATCGAAAACACTGCCACCAGCATGCACCCCAGCCACCGCCACCAGCAACTGTCCCTAGCACTGTCCCCACGATGCCCTCTTATGATCCCCATCACCAATATCCATGCTTGTCCTTGCCAGCACTGTCCCTATCAACAGGTCATCAGGACTTCATCAACACTCTGATCAGCTCTGTCTAGGTGATCCCGTCCTGACCCACCAGCATCACTAACACCCCCAGACCTTCACCAACACTTCCACCAACACAATCACATTGTCATCTTCATCGCCGCCTACACAGCTGCCCCCCACCACTGTCACACAAAGTCTCAAGGCCACCACACCCCCACACCATTGACCCTGACCTTCACACACTGCCCTTTGTCCCTGCAGTGCCTCCCACAGACCTCTTCCAGGGCCCTGTGATAGGGGCTGTGTGTGTGGGGGGGGTGTGGCTGCTTACCCTTATTGTTGGGTGGTGAATGACTGCCCTTTGGCTGGTTCTGGTTTTTGAAGGTAAAGGTGATATTCTCATAGTTAGGGTCATCTGCAGCTGTAGGCAAGTCATTGAGAGGGCTTGAAGAAAGCTGCCCGGAGCTCTGGGGCAGGGGTGAGTATGGGAGAGGGAGCTCAGACATCTTGGTTTACTGAATCCTCCACACAACAGATTTCTTGGGGCAAAGATAAGGAGTAGGGAACTCTGATCTTCATCTTAATGCGTGTGAGCCTTTGGGTGACACACACACACATTTTGGGGGGGGAGCCCTCCAACCCTCACTTTCAGCTCCTCACTCCTCCCATCCCAACCTCTCCCCTCCTCACCCACGATGCCTAACCTTCTTTATTGCCTGAGGATCCCCGTCTCTTGTGTTTGAAGGCTACCGCCTGCATCTTGACCTTCTGGTTTATGTAGATTTCCTCAGTCTCTATGGTCCCCGGCAGCAAATTTGTCTTCACACAGCCCCACCCACCGGAAAGTGTCTGGGGAGATGAGGAAATCTCTGGGTTGAGGTGGAGGAGAGGAAGGAGAATGTAGGCTTCCTGCTTTCAGGGATCCAGGAACCCCCCACCCTTGGGGCATCCTCACTCCAACCCCGGCTCAACAGGAGCCGTAGGCATCCACCTGCCAATGCAGGAGACCCAGGTTGGATCCCTGATCTGGGAAATCTGGCAGTTAAGCCCTTGCACCACAACTATTGAGCCTGTGCTCTAGAGCCCAGGAGCCACAAGTACTGGAGCCCACAACAAGAGAAGCCCTCCCACCTCAACAGGAGAGTAGCCCCCTTCGCCACAGTCAGAGAACCTACACAGCAACAAAGACCCAGTGCAGCCAAAAGGAAAATTTTTTAGAAGAAGACCTTGTTTTTAAAAAAGAATGGTCACAGCTTGGGGGAAAAAAAAAGAGTCTTAGGAGACCAAAGTTCTCAGGAGGGACAAGATAGATTCACCCAGACCCAGAAACAGAACAAGATGGTCAGCAATTTGTGGTAGAGGTATTAACTAATGCCCTGCTAGTAGTTCAGATGATAAACATTCTGCCTGCAATGCAGGAGAACTGAGTTCCATGGGGATCGTCATATTGCAATCGAAAAATGTATCAAGTCAACATACTGTATATTGTAAACTTACACAAAGTCATGGCTCAATTATATTCAATAAAAATAATTTTGAAAATAGGATGGTCAGGAACTTTACCGGAAGCTCTCCATGTGTGTGTATGTGTGTCCACCTGGATGAACCTCATCCTCCCATCTCTTGCTCTCATGGGAGATACTATGGCACCCCACCTTTTGGGGCAAGACTCCTAGGTCCCCACACCTACCTTCCCTCTGTCCTAGTCCCACCCCTCAGCTCCACCCAGAGAAGTTCAACTTCTCCAAGGCCCTTCGGAGGAGAAGAATGGATATGAGGCAATGGGGCTAACCACTGGAAGTCCACTCCCACATCTGGGACTGAGGCCAGAGGTCACCTTGGTCTAACCGAGAAGCAGTTCCTCTTCCACCTGGAGACCCCTGGCGAAGGAACACTCAGAAACACATTCACACTCATCCACATATCAGCTCACCTACCCAGACCCCCTACACACACTTGCACACTCACACTTCTGAATACCCCCAATCACACATCTGTATATGTGTACATATGGCGTGCTTATTTGCATGCTTATACATATTCATGTGCACACACTGTCTCCACTCTGTACAGGTATCTTTAAAGCTTTCCTTGTGTCTATCTGACCTTGAAAACTGGGGATTAAAATGAGGCTAAGTATACAAGGAATTTTCTCTTTCAGTCTAGAGCAGTTCCCTTCTGATAAAAGTAAATATAATGCGAAACACATGTGGGTTTTTGGCAGGTTTATTTTCCTTTTTTTTTTTCCCTGCACTGACCTAGATCTTAGTTCCTGACCAGGGATAGAACCCATGCTCCCTGCATTGGGAGCACAGAGTCTTAACTATTGGACCACCAGGGAAGTCCCTGGCAGGGTTCTTAAAAATTGAAATGTAGTTGACTTATATAATATTATGTTAGCTCCAGGTGTATAGCATAGTGGTTCAATATTTTTGTAGCTTATACTCCATTTAAAGTTATTACAAAATAATGGATATATTTCCTTGTACTGTAAAATATATCCTTGTTGCTAATCTACTATATACATATTAGTTTTTATCTCTTAATCTCTTGCCCTTATATTTCCCTTCTTCTCTCCCCTCTCTCCACTGGTAACCACTAATTTGTCCTGTCTGTGAGTCCATTTCCATTTTGTTACGTACATTCCTTTAAAAATTGTTTTTAGATTCCACATACAAGTGATAACATACACTAACATGACATACAACTATTTGTGTCTCTGAGTTACTTCACTAAGCATGTGCGTGTGTACATGATCAGTTGCTTCAGCCATGTCCGATTCTTTGTGTCCCTGTGGACTGTAGCACTCCAAGCTCCTTTGTCCATGGGATTCTCCAGGCGAGAATACTGGAGAGGGTTGCCATGCCTTCCTCCAGGGGATCTTCATGATCCAGGGATCAAACCCACATCTCCTGCACTGTGGGTGGATTCTTTACCCACTGAGCCATCTGGGAATCCCACACTAAGCATAATACCCTCTGAGTCCACCATGTTGCTGCACATGGCAGAACTTTATCCTTTTTCATGGCTGAGTAATATTCCATTGTGTGTGTATATGTGTGTGTGTATACATACCTGAATACTTCCAGCTGCACATCTGCTCATGTGTACACATGGCATGTTCAAAAGTCATCTCCCAGCTGCTGATCGGGGGCAAGAGCTTTAAGGGGAATTTTAGGAGTGTATAGGTGGAGGGAGGGAGCTGTGTGCAGAAACAGTACATCAGCTCTGACAATCATCCTGAAGTTGCTTATGCAATGGTCTGATCAGTGTCATCTTGATTGCTTTAAGTACACTTAATCTTCAGTTCCAGGGTTGGATTGTTCCCATTTCCTTGAGGCCAGCTCTTGAAACTGTGTAAGCTGTGGCCGCTTACATCATGGCTGCAGTCTGGGCATCGTGTAGTTAGTTTCCCCCACTTGGGGGGTTTGGTATCCGAGAAAGAGCTCCAAGCATATGACACAGTATTATCTATAGCCCTTGAGGAGGGACTAAATGTCCTTGACTTAGTTTAATGGTTTATTATTATTTTATTCTATTTGATCATTTTTCTTTGTTTCTGCACTTTTAAAATTTATTTGATTAAATTTATTCTTTGGATAAAATTTTTCTGTAGATAAGAGACAAGCAGAGGACATGGGGGGAGGTGGCGTCTGTCCTGGGAAGTACCCATAGGGTCTCACTCTGTTACACTCCCTTTGGAAAAAATTAGATTAAAACTTTCTATGTGTGAGAAGTGAGTATGTTTTAGGCTTAAAATATGTGATTAAATTCTAAGTAACTTTGGGCTTCCCAGGTGGCGCTAGTGGTAAAGAACCTGCTTGCTAACATAGGAGATATAAGACACACGTGTTCAATCCCTGGGTCAGGAAGATCACCTGGAGGAGGGCATGGCAACTCACTTCAGTACTCTTGCCTGGAGAATCCCATGGACAGAGGAGCCTGACAGGCTACAGTCCATAGGGTCACAAAGAGTAGGACACCATTGAAGTGACAGCATGCGTGCAAGTTTGGAATTACCCCTGAGATTTGGCTGGAGAGGATAATGTTCTCTCTCTCTTTCTTTTTTTTAATAATGTTCTCTTTCCGGAAGTATTGCCAATCTTGGGACTTCCCTGACAGTCAAGTGATTAAGACTCTGAGCTTCCACTGCAGGTGCTGTAGTATATCCCTAGCTGGTGAACTAAAATCCCACATGCCACCCAGTGAGGTATAAATAAATAAAGTACTGCCAGTCTTGTCTGCTCAAGGAAGATCAGTTTAATAATAATTAGACGCCAGCTCTTCCATCTCCTCTTACAAAGAATGCAGTCGTTGAGAGACGTGGCCTCGCCTCCACTGATGATGCAATAGCTGCAGAAAGGATGGACCAATGGGGAACTGACTCTGCTCTGATGGACAGGCATAGGGGGTGGGTCTGCAACATTGCACATTTCCCTGACTAAAATGAGGCTAAAACGAGGGTACAGCCCTCTGGACTTGGAGAAAAAGGTAGCCCCGGAACTGAAGACCCACAAGCAATGGTGTCATGGTGGCCTAAGAGGACCCCGTGGGGTTGGCTGACCCGATGCTTTCATGGGGCAACAGTCTGAATTTTCTTTAAAGAAGGAAAATGAACCCTAACCAGGGATTGGTTTAGGGTGGGCGCAAGATCCAGGTCCAGCCAATCAAAGACCAAGATTTGGCACAGAGCGGGTGGGCAAATGAGCCAGACTCAACCAATAAAACCCAGGCCTGGGGCTTTTGTTGGGTTAGCCAGGTAAAGGGGCATTCTCTCTTTCCCACTTCTGTCAGACTGCCAGGATATAAGCCTGGAGCCATGACAGGGGAGAACTTGCTTAAAAGTGAGGTCAACACTAAGGAAAGCAGACACGACAAGGATTCGGGTCCTGGAGACCTTGTCCGAGACCCTGGATTCAGTCAACCCCGAGTCTGTTGTTCTGAACCTGAGCCTCTCATTTAGGTAATCCAGAAAATGTCCGTTCAGTTTAGCTGGAACTAGATTGAGGTGGGGTCTGTGAGGCTGGCAACCAACAATCTTGGCTACTATACGGGGCTGTTGTTTAGTCGCTCAGTCGTGGCCGACTCTGCAACCGCATGGACTGCAGCATGCCAGTCTTCCCTGTCCTTCCCTATCTCCGGGAGTTTGCTTAAACTCATATCCATTGAGGCGATGATGCCATCCAACCATCTCATCCTCTTTCGCCCCCTTCTCCTCCTGCCCTCAATCTTTCCTGGAATCAGGGTCTTTTCTAATGAGTTAGCTCTTCACATCAGGAGGCCAAAGGATTGGAGCTTTAGCTTCAGCATCAGTCCTTCCAATGAATATTCAGGGTTGATCTCCTTTAGGATTGACTGGTTTGATCTCCTTGCTGTCCAAGGGACTCTCGAGAATATTCTCCAGCACCACAGTTCAACTCTCACAGGGGGCTGGGCAATTAGCAAATGAGGAAAGAGACTTAAGAAAGGGCTTTGCCTTTCAAAGTCTACACCCTGGGATAGGAGGAAAACTGTGTTGGAATGGAGAGCTCAAAAGAGGCCCTTCTTGGGGTCCAGATACAAGGGGATAGTTGTGGGTCTTGAAGACAGGCATTCACATGAGAGTTTGGGGACAGTGAGGGGGCAGGATGGCCAAGGTACTATGCTTGCCCTCTCTGGTCCTTAACACATTTCTGACTCTGTGATCCCACTCCAACCCCAAGGCCAAAGTGCTTTAAGAGGAAGGAGCTGGGAGGGGAATCCCTGGATTGGCATGTAGTGGATTCCATGGGCACCAGGAGTGTTTGTGATATCAGTTCATGATCACTGTGACCAGCCTTGGGAGGGGTGGTGTACCGCCAGGGGAGGTGGTTGTCAGTAGGAAGAGTCCAAATCATCCTGAAAACCAGAAACCCATCCTGTCACCCATTCTTCAGCCTCTGGAGTGTGCTGCTGGGGACAGTGCTATTTAAGTCTGGGGTCCCTCTTAAATCTGGGCACCAAGTGTTCTGAAGTCTCTGTCTGCATCTCTCAGGGACTGGATTTTAAGACTCCTGGGTTAGGGTTCTCAGGAAACTGGACCTTGAATCACCTGGATTTGTGCCCCCAGTGATGCTGAGTATTTCTCTTCTGAGGCATTGACTCCAGACTGAGACCAACGTCATCCAGGCTGGGATGGGGACTTGATGTTGAAAGCACGAGAGTCCCTCCAAGGCATACAAGAGTTCCTGTGTCCCTAGTTTCCTCCCCACAGTTGGCATGTGCGTGTCTATAGGGCATGGCATCCTTTGTGACCGTGGTAACTGGCTTGTGTATTTTGTGTGCACAAGGCCAGGTGTCACTGTGTATATAGGTGTAGCATGTGTACCTAGGTGGTGTATTCACCTGTGTGTCTGGTTGTTTATTCAGTAGACATTTCCTGAACACCTTCGACGTGCCATTCTCTCTTCTAAGCAGGATATACCAAAGAGCCAACAAGTCCCCTACGCGTGTCGTCATATCTGAGTGTTCATGAGGAATAGGAACGAATGTCCCTGTTGCAGTTGGGGAGTGAGGGATGGAGCTCAGGTCTCTGGGTACAGCGATGAATAGGGATGCACCCTGACCCTGAGGCTGCTCATGACTTAAGGCTCTGGAGCGTATGTGGGGTAGGGGTTGGTGGGGGTGGGGTGGTTCCTGTCCTGTCCAGACCCAGATCCCCCAAGAGGCATCACTGTGGGGGAGAATAACCCAGCAACTTCCCAGGAGGCCTAGGGCCCTCATGTGACCGTCAAAGTGGCCTCAAAGGTAACACTACGGGACTTCCCTGACGGTCCAGTGGTTAAGACTCCAGAGCTTCCACTGCAAAAGGCACGGGTTCCATACATGGTCAGTTAGGGAATTAAGATCCCACATGCCGTGCAGAGAGGCCCCCCACAAAAATAGTCTAACACTCTCTTCTCCTTTGACGAAGACCATGAGCCTTGAGTGTGGGTGTCATTAAAGGAAGTTAGGGCCCCATTTTCAAAAGTAGAAGTGGCGGACAACAAGGGAGGAGGGGGGAATGGGGAGAAGAAAAGCTGCGGTTGCCCCCCCTCCTCCGGTGCTAATGCACCTTGCTCTTTTTGGAGACGCCAGCTCAGTCACCCACACCCCACAGAAGACACAGCTCAGAGCCCGGGCCCTCTCCATCAGCTTCTCAAGGAGGTTTATTTCCAGCCAGGGCCAGACGCGGCCCCCAGGCCTGCACCGCGCAAGCGCAGTTTTAGGTTACCGGCTCCACAGGCGACAGCAGCGAGCTCCGGTCCAGTCCATGTCTGCGCACTGGCAGTGGCACGTGGTCTCAGCACGCACGTCCCACGAGCCACAGGCAGAGCCACACGTGCAGCCAGTGACGGCGAAGCCTGCGCGGGGGAGCAAGGAGGAGAGAGCTTGGACCCTGAGCTGGAAGCTGCGAGTTTGGGCTTCCAGGGGGCTGGCTGCGTGGGTGGCGGGGAGGCTAGGGGCCTGGACACCAGTGTCCTGAGGAAATGGGGCCCGAGAGTTGGGGAAAGGGACAGGGCTGGGAGTGCAGACCAGAATATTAAGGAATTAGAGGCTGGGACTCCGTGGTTCTAGAGAAATGGAACCTGAACACCGTGGAGGGGGGTATGGGGTGCTGAGAATAGACCCGGGAGACTGGACAACGGAGTTCTGTACCTACCTGAAGGGCAGGTGACCAGGGACCCCCTGGAGGTGACACTCTGGCAGTCCAGGCCAATGTTCCTCACTGCCTCAGGAACTGTGGGAAGGGGTGATGCAAAGGAACTGTGAGACCAAGCTGCCCCAACCCCCTTCTCACTCTGCCTGGGCCCTGGCGGTTTGGAGATGGGCAGAGGGTCAAGAAAACTCCCCTGCAGAAGGCCCAGTAGGTGGGGGAACTCCCCACCTCCAAGGATTCTGTCCTGGGTGGGCGTTTTCGAGGGAGGAGGGTTTTGAGCTGTAGTTGGAGGTGGAGACGGGTGGAGATTGGCGTTGGGTTTGGTTTGGGGTTGAGATTTGGTTGGGGTTGGGGCTGGCTTGATGTTTGCTCCATGTCAGGAATCAGAGGGGCCCCTGAGAGCCTGGCTGAGGTTCGATGGGAGGGTTCTCACCTAAGGAGCTGGTGACATGCTGGATCTTCTCACTGATGGCTTTATCTATGGGGCACAGCGACTGGCCACACACCAGCAGCCCCAGGACTGGGATGAAGAGGAAGGAGAGAGCCTTCATCCTGCAGGTGCTGCAAGAAAAAAACCAAGAGACCCCCATCTGGGTCTACCCCTCCCCATCCTGGGGAAGCTCAGATCCACAGAGCACATGGGATTGGGAGCTGTGAGTCCTAACTGAGGATAGGGCTGGAGACTCAGCTTTGCCACTACAGGCAGGAGCAGCTGTCACTTACCCTCTCTGTGGACTCAGCAGGCCAAATTTTGAACACTAATTCCACGCCCCTGCCTCTTCTCCCTCTTTAAGGCTGCTGGGTGTGCAGCTTCCTGTCTTGGCTAAGACCCTTGGCATCCTGGGCCTCCCTTTCCACATCCGGGGCTAAGAGGAAGCCCCCAGGGTAGAGTCCAGGGACCTAGTAATGCCACAGACTCCACCTTCCAGAGCCTTCCCTGTCCACATCTAGGCTGGGGGGCTGGTCCAGAAGATAGCACCTGGTGGAATAATTCCAGGAACCATAGTCAGAAGAGCAGGGAGAGAAACCAGCTTACATGGAGCAGTGGGGGGGGGGGGGGGCGGGCACACACATGTGACCAGAATCATGTTCTTGTGTAAGAACTGCATGCTGGGCTTCCCTGGTGGTCCAGTCGTTAAGGATCTGCCTTGCAATGCAGGAGACAGCAGTTCAATCGCTCATCCTGGAATATCCCACATGCCTCAAAGCAACTACGCCCATGCACCACAACCCCAGAACTCACATTCTGCAAATACTGAGCCCTCGACTTAGACCCTGTGCTCTGCAACAAGAGAAGCCACTCTAATGAGAAGCCCAACCCGCAACTAGAAAGTAGCCCCCACCTCACTGCAATTAGAGAAAGTCCAAGTGCAGCAACGAAGACCCAGCCCAGCCAATAAACAAATAAATAAATAAATCTTAAAAAAAGAACTACATGCCATGTTCATTCCCAAATGCCTATCACAATAGAAAATAAAAACTATGATTTATTCCTTCAAAGGAATAATGGGCAACTGAAGTTGTCAAACTATGGCCCATGGGCTAGATCTAGCCCACCATCTTTTTTTTTCCTTTTGGCTACACCATGCATCATGCAGGGGGTAGTTCCCCAACCAGGGATGGAATACCTGTACCCTCTGCAGTGGAAGCTCGGACTCTTAATCACTGGACCACCAGGGAACTTTGCCCACCATTTATTTTTGTACAACCCATGAGCTAAGAATGGTTTTTACATTGTCTTGGTTTGTTTTTGTTTCCAATATGGATTTTTTAAATACTGTGGTAAAACACACATAACATAAAACATACCATTTTCAAGTGTACAGTTCATCAGCATTAAGACGGAGCAACCACCAAGGCAGACACTGGACTGTTGTGGCCACAAGCGAAAGGATGCCAGCAGCCACAAGAAGCCGGAAGGACTCAAGAACCGATTCTTTCCTAGAGTCTTTAAAGGGAGTGTGGCTTGATTTCAGTCACACAAAGTGTTGTGTAATCATCACCTCTGTCCATTTCCACAATTTTTTTTAATCATTCTAAACTGACTTTACCCATAAACACTAACTTCCACTTCCTCTTCCTGAAGTCCCTGGTAACCTCTAATCTACTTTCTGTTTTATGAATTTGCCTATTCATACCGCAAGTAAGTGGAATCCGAGGATAGTTACCCTTCTGTGCCTGCCTTATTTCACTAGCATAACATTTAAACATTCATCCATATTGTAGCATGGACCAAAACCTCATTTCTTTTTCAGGCTAATATTCAATTTTATGTACATATTGCATTTTGTGTGTCATCAATTTGTTGATGGACAGCTAGGTTGTTAAATGTTTCTTTTCAATGAATTTTTTTTTTTGGCTGCATTGGATCTTTGTTGGGGCACACATGCTTTTTCTAGTTTTGGTGAGTGGGGGCTACTCTCTAGTTGCCGTGTGTGGGCTTCTCATTGCAGTGGCTTCTCTTGTGGAGCATGGGCTCTAGGCACGCGGGCTTCAGTACTTGGGGCACATGGACTTCATTGCTCCATGGCATGTGGGATCTTCCCCGACCAGGGATCGAACCTGTGTCACCTGCATTAACAAGCAGATGCTTAACCACTGGACCACTAGGGAAGTCCTGTTTCTACCTTCTGGCTATTGCCAAGGATACTGCTCTGAACTTGGGACCACAGGTATCCTTCGAGTGACTGCTTTCAGTTATTTTAGGCTTAAACCCAGGAGTGGAATTGCTGGGTCCTATGGCAATTCTGTGTTTAACTTTTTGAGGGACTGCCAAACAGTGTTTACATTTTAAAATCATTGACAGAAATTTAATATTTAGTGAAATATGAAGAGTATGTGCAATTCAAAGTCCAGGGTGCATATCAAATTTTCTCAAAACACAGGCATGCCCACTTTTGAAGATATCCTCCATGGCTGCTTTTACGAAGTCACTCACAGAGCTGAGAAGTCACGACAGTGTCCGTAATGACCCACAAAGCCGACCGCATTTGCTGTCTGGCCCTTTACAGAGAGGGCTTCCCAGGTAGCACTAGTGGTAAAAAATCAGCCTGCCAATGCAGGAGACACAAGAGACGTGGGTTCGATCACTGAATGGAAAAGATCCCCTGCAGTAGGAAATGGTGACCCACTCCAGTATTCTTGCCTGGAAAAGTTCCATGGACAGAGGAGCTTGGCAGGCTATGGTCCATGGGGTTGCAAAGAATTGGATGTGACTGAGTACACCTTTACAGAAAAAACTTTTGCCCACCCAGTAGCCATGAGTGTGAATACATAATGGACATATGAATTTCAGGCAGCTACATGCAACAATCTGGGTGATTTCCACCAATCTAGCAGTAAGCAAAGGACCCCAGAGACAAAAGAGGACATACTACATCAATCCATCTATTTTAAAGGACCAAAACTAGGACTTTCCTGGTGGTCCAGTGGTTAAGACTCAATGCTTCCAATGCAGGAGCTGTGGGTTCAGTTCCTGGTCAGGTAACTAAGATCCTGTGTGCTGTGAGGTGCTGCCAAATAAATAAAAAGTTAAAGAATGCAAACCAAAACAAAAAAACAAAAAACCCTCTAAAGCCCAACTGGTCTCTGCTGTTGGGAATAAGATGAAATTTTCCTGGAAGTAATGAATAGAGATGAGAAAGGAGCAAAAGGAAGGCTTCTGGAAAACTCGTGAAAAATTTCAGCTCTACATGTGTGTTTGCACATTTTTCTTTATGCATGTTATATCTAAATAAAAGGGTTGTTGTTGTTTAGTCTCCAAATCCTGTATGACTCTTTTGTGACCCCATGGACTGTAGCCCGCCAGGCTGCTCTGCCCATGGGATTTCCCAGGCTAGAATACTGGAGTGAGTTGCCATTTCCTTCTCCAGGGGATCTTTCTGACCCAGGGATCGAGCCCGAGTCTCCTGCACTGACAGGTGGATTCTTTACCACTGAGCCACCAGTGTGTAAAATGGCTGTGTAAATACAACAGTGTTCACATGGACAAAGTGTAGACAGTATTTATTGAGCACTTACTGGTGTGGCAAAGATGCTAAACATTGGGCATCCAGTAGGGATCAAAGGGACACTCCTGCTGTCTCAAAGTTTGCTGTGTCACAGGAAGACAGACACCAAGAGAGCACTCAGTTAGCCTCAGCCTCCACCTGTCCTTTTCTCCCTGAGGCAGAGGAACCCAATTCTAGGAGGATTTCTGACACAAGAATAGAGGCCCCTGGAAGACCTGAATAGACATTCCTCCAAAGAAGACGTAGAGATGGCCAACAGGTACATGAAAAGATGCTCAACATTGCTATTCAGTCAGTCAGTCAGTCAGTTAGTTCAGTCACTCAGTCGTCTCCGACTCTTTGCAACCCCATGAATCGTAGCACGCCAGGCCTCCCTGTCCATCACAAACTCCTGGAGTTTACTCAAACTCATGCCCATCGAGTCGGTGATGCTATCCAGCCATCTCATCCTCTGTCGTCCCCTTCTCCTCCTGCCCCCAATCCCTCCCAGCATCAGGGTCTTTTCCAATGAGTCAACTCTTCGCATGAGGTGGCCAAAGGATTGGAGTTTCAGCTTCAGCATCAGTCCTTCCAATGAACACCCAGGACTGATCTCCTTCAGGATGGATTGGTTGGATCTCCTTGCAGTCCAAGGGACTCTCAAGAGTCTTCTCCAACACCACAGTTTAGAAGCATCAATTTTTCGGCGCTCAGCTTTCTTCACAGTCCAACTCTCACATCCATACATGACCACTGGAAAAACCAGAGAAATGCAAATCAGAACTACAATGAGATATCAACTCACACCTGTCAGGATGGCCATCTATAAAAAGACTGCAGATAAAACTTGTTGATAAGGATGTAGAGAAAAGACCACATGTACACAGTTGATTGGAATACACATTGGTGCAGTCACAATGGAGAACAGTGTGAAGGTTCCTCAAAATTAAAAGTACAACTACTACATGATCCAGCAATTCCACTCCTGGGTATATATCAGAAGACAATGAAAGCACTAGTTTGAAAGGATACATGCACTCCAATGCTGTTCATTGCAGCATTATTTATGGTAGCCCACATATGGAAGCAACCTAAGTGCCCATCAATAGATAAGTGAATAAAGATGTGGCATACACACACACACACACACACACACACACACATATATACACATATATATGTATGATGGTATATTACTCAGCCTAGAAAGTATTATGATTAGTGAACTAAGAGAAGGATAAATACTGTATGTTATCAGGACATATGTAGACTCTAAAAAGTAAATATAACAAAAAAGAAAGAGAACAAACTAGTGGTTACCAGTGAGGAGAGGGAAGAAGGAGGGGCAAAAGAGGAGTAGGAGATTAAGAGGTACAAACTACAATGTATAAAATAAATGAGCTACAAAAATACATATTATACAGCAAGAGAATACAGGCAACTTTATAATAATTACAAAGGAGTATAATCTATAAAAATTTCAATTTTTTGAAATTTTACAATTTAAAATTTTTATTTACAATTTTACAAATTTAAATTTTACAATTTACAACTACGTTGTA